CAGCCAGTCTACCAATCACAACCCCTGTACCAATGACAGCCAGTCTATCAATCATAACTAGCTTATCAATGGTGACCACCCAATCAACTCTTGCCCTCCTATAAAATGAAGTTTTATTTATAACTAGTTACTGCTCAATCTGAGGAGTGTAGTCCGGCTCCTGGCTGGATTGCTTCCTGTGAAATGAGATTGCCGTGAGGTTTATGTGAGAATTCCGAGTGACAGTGAATTTAATTGACAGGATAAGTGTAAAGAAGAGAGCTTTCACCATAGCTATGAATGCTGGGATAGCCCTACCTCCATTGCCTTCCCATGGTCAGTCAGTTCATAACACAAAAGACAGCTAGTGATTCTCAGTCAGATACAAACTAAGTAGAGAGATTTTAAGGAAAAGTTGGATGAAGAGAGAGTAGAAAAGAGAAGGGATTCATTTTTTTATTTGAATTTGTGCTTAAGTCACCAGAAACCTCGACTTTTGGCGACAGTGCTTTTCAGTGATCGAATTCGACAGAGGGTTAGTCAGTAAGTAATTCTCAGTCAGGCTCAGTGAGGGAAGAGGAATGACAAAAAAGAAATAAATGACATTTATATCGGGCCCTGAATGTAATCAATTGTCCCAAGGTGATTTATGAAGTCCTTTACAACTTAATGACTTCTTCATTTTCTTTTTAAATGATGTGCCAGAGATGGAGAAACAGGGTGGTAATGCTAGAGATGAATTTCAAGGGGCAACAAGTATTGCAGTAGGCAGATGGTAATGAAATCATTTAAATAAGGTATTGAATCAATTCAAATAAAATGAAAAACAACAACATGTAAATTAGAATTCCTTTACACGTCAATGAATGTGGGAATTTTTATTTTATTCACACGTGGGATGTGGGCATCGCTGACTGGTCTGCATTTATTGCCCATCCCTAGTTGCCCTTGAGCAGGTGGTAGTGAGCTGCTTTCTTGAACCGCTGCAGTCCATGTGCTGTCGGGACACCCACAGGAGAGAATTCCAGGATTTTGACCCGGGGACAGTGAAGGAGCAGCAATACATTTCTACATCAGGATGCTGAGTGGCTTGGAGGGGAACTTTCAGGGGGTGGTGTTCCCATGTATCTGCTGTCCTTGTCCTTCTAGGGTTGTGGGTTTGGAAAGTGCTGTCTAAGGAGCCTGATGTGTATAAGATTATGTGCAGTGTAGGATTGATCTATTTGGGGATGTGGTTGGGAATTGTAGACTGATGACATCAAGGTTTAAACGTGTGTGTGTGAGCGCGCGTGTGTGAGTGTCTATGAGAGAGAGAGAATGTATGTTTGTATGAGAGACAGAGAACATGTGCGTATGCATGTGTGTGTGTGTATGTGTATGTGCCTACATATATCTCTGTCTCTCTCTTTATATGTGTCTAAGTGTGTGAACAATGAGCTCACAAATCCTATCAGCATCACAGGACTCCCTTGGGAGACCTCCAGATGGTTCACCCCCTCCACCCTCCCCCACTCACCCTGTCACATCCCTCTTGCAGTCATAAGGTCTGGTATTAGGTCACCCAGTCTGGACAGTTATATGACCTTGCTCTCTTCTTTTAGATCAGTCCATCTGGAAATACCTGCAAATTTACATCAAACACCAAATGTCTGCTTCTATAAGGAGAGCCCTGGGCTGCCGCATCACTGCTGAACATCCAGGCTTTAAAATGTGAAGATGTTATTTATAATTCAGACCCTACTTGCATTTGCACCAGTAGCAAAGTCACCTTAGAGCTTATTATCATTGCAGTCAATTCCAGTCCCTTGGACTCAGGACTATGCATCCCCTACAGCCTCACACACACACACACTTTCAATTTAGACACACTTCCAACAGAGACAGAGGCTGTTCAGCCCATTGTATCGGTGTCAGCTCTTTCCTGTAAAAATCCATAACTCCTGCTACCTCCCCCACAAAACTGTGCTGGCCCACGATCCAGAATTAGATCATTCTTTCCCTTAAAACAGCCTATGGTGTCTGTCTGAGTTATTTCCCATGGCACTGTATATACCAGCAGCCCCTCTATTTGTAGGAATCTCTCTAACAATCTTGCCTTCTCATTAATTAGTTTCCACTTCCTCATCCCCGATTCTCCTTTGAAAGTCACTTTGACAAACTCCTCGTTACTTTAAACATCATTAAAGGGAAGTGACGAGGTAGTGACAATTTCTCTGAGCCAGCAAGCTTGGAACATGGCGTCAAATTCCAATGTGGCTGATGGTGAGTTTTGAATTTGACAGATTATGGAAATTTAAGCAAAGCTGATTTTATTGGCTATCACGTAATAATTGTCAACTGTTGTAGAAACTGATCTGGTTCACTAATGTCCTTTAGTGAAGGAAATCTGCTGTCCTTACGTGGTTTGACCTACAAGTGACTCCAGGCCCACAGCAATGTCCTAGAGAGCCAATCCGTTCAATGAAACTAGGAATGGGCAGTCAACACACCGTTACCACCAGTAATGCCTACGCCTCATACAAGAAAAATAAATCTCTGCTCCTTGGAATCGGTCTATCTCCAGCCGTTAGGCTAGCTCTTCCTTAGTGAACCCACTTTCCATTGTGCTTATACTATTTCAGTAGGTCTCCCAAAACTGTACCCAACACCTTATCACTGACTGGGATGAACTAATTTACCATCGTTTTTGCACTTTTGTAGTCCATCACTTCAGTAAAACCCAATTTTCTATTTTTTAAAGCTTTCTCATTTGTACCTTTACTCATAGAATCATCCAGTACAGAAATGGCCCTTCAGCACATCGGGTCTGTACCAAAAATACACTACAACCTCCACTAATCCCACTTTCTTCACCCAGCCCATTGCTTTGAACCTCAAGAGTTGATCCAAGTACATTTTAAAGGTTGTGAGGTTTCCTGCCTCTACTATCCTCCTAGACAGTTTAATCCAGATCACCCCCCCACCACCCTCTAGATGAAAAAATCTTTCCTCAAATCCCTTGAAAACCTCATGCGTTTCACTGTAAACATGTGCCCCCTTTGTTACTGACCCTTCGATGAAGGGGAACAGCTGCTTCCTATCAATGCCCCTCATAATCTGACACGCCTCTGTCAGGTTACTCCTCAACCTTCTCTTGCTCTAAAGAAAACAACCTCAGCTTATCCAGCCCCTCTTCGTAGCTGAAATGCTCCATCTCAGGTAACATCCTGGTGAAGATCCTCTCCCCCACTTCCAGTGCAGTCACATCCTTCCTATAGTGCGGTGACCAGAATTGCACACAGTGCTCCAGCTACGGCCTCACCAAAGTTCTGTACAGCTCCAACATAACCTCCCTGCTCTTATAATCTATGCCACGTATAATAAAGACAACTGTCCCATATGCTTTCTTAATTACCCTATTAACTTGTCCTGCCCCCTTCAGGGATCTGTGGGTAAGCACCCTGAGATCCTTCTGTTCCTCAGTTTCCTAGTGTCCTGCCATTCATTGAATATTCCCTGTCTTGTTCCTTCTTCTTAAATCCATCACCACACATTTATCAGGGTTAAATTCCATCTGCCATTGATCTGTCTCTCTGACCAATCCATTTATATCCTCCCATAACACCTCTTCCTTACCAGGTAGGTAACTGAAGATAGACAACTGTACCTCCTCCACGATAACACTCAACACTGGAGCCCCCCCGCAAGGATGCATTCTCAGCCCCTTACTGTACTCCCTGTACACCCACAATTGTGTTGCCAAATTCTGAATGAACACCATCTACAAGTTCACTGATCTCACCACTGTAGAAGGGTAGCTATCTAATAATGATGATAACAAAATACAGAAGGGAGATAGAGAGCTTGGTGACATGGTACAATGAAAACGATCTGTCTCTCAACGTCGGCAAAACTAAAGAACCGATCATGGACTTCAGAAAGAAAGAGGGAGAACACACCCCTATCTACATCAATAGATGGAGGTTGAGAGGGTGAAGAGCATCAAGTTCCTTGGAGTGACAATAACTGACAACCTGTCCTGGACTTCCCATGTAGATGTGACAGTCAAGAAGGCACAATTCCTCTTCTTCCTCAGGCGGCTCAGGAAATTTAACATGTCCATAAGGTCCCTCACCAACTTCTACGGATGCACCATTGAAAGCATACTGTCCGGGTGCATAACGGCCTGGTATGGCAACTGCTCTGCCCAGGACTGTAAGAAACTACAGAAGGAGGTGTGCACAGCCCAGACCATCACGGAAGCCAACCTTCCATCCACGGACTCTATTTACACGGCTCGCTGCCGCAGAAAGGTTGCCAACATCAAAGACCTATCGCACCCTGGTAATGACCTCCTACAACCTCTTTGTCAGGCAGAAGATCCAGAAGGCCGAACACATGCACGAGTAGGTTCAGGAACAGCTTCTTCCCAGCCGTTATTAGACTGACGAATGGACTCTGTAGCCTGAAATAATGCTGATCTTGTTAACGGTGATCTTGCCTAGCACACGCCCTGTGCTATGTAACCTGTATGCCTCTGTCTAAGTCTTTTTTCAACTTCTGATCTGTAAATCCTTGCTTACTATGATCTGCCTGTACCGCTCGTAAACAAAGCTTTTCACTGTACTTCGGTACACGTGATAATAAATCAATCAATAAATCAACCTACCAACCACCCAGCCAAAGTGTCATCCACAAACTGACTTATCAATGACCCCTATATTCTCATTTATAGACATTACAACAAATTAGGAACCCAGCACTGATCCCTGTGGTACATCACTGCACATTGGGCTACAGTCACACCAACAGCTTTCTACCACCACCCTCTGGCTCCTGTCTCTAAACCGATTTTGGATCCACCTGCCAACTGCCCTACCATCATCCATTGACTTAATCACTTTCTCAAAAAATTCCACCAGATTCCCTCTGACAAAGCCGTGCTGACTGTCCTTGCCTCTCTAAATGGAGATTAATTTTCTCCTTCCCTATTTTCTCTAATAGTTTCCCTCCCACTGATTTTACACTAACTAGTCTGGTCTATCCCTACCGCCCTTTTGGTAAAGTGAAACCACTGTAGCTGTCCTCTGGCAATCCCCCTGTGCCCTGGGATGATTTAAACATTTGGGTCAAGGCCCCTATTATTTCCGCCCTTGACTCCCACAACAGCCTGGGGTACAATTCACCGTGATGTCGGCATTTGTCTGTTCTGTGTCAGAGCCAATGGTCTCTGTTTACACATTGCAATCAGCATGTTCCACTGAGCAAACATGTGTTTCAATTCCAAATACTTCATTTACTCTCAGGCAAACTGATCACACACACACACACACACACACACACTCATAGACACACACACACTCTCTCATAGACACACACATACGCGAATACACATACACACTTGATTACACACACACACACAAATACACACAATCTCATGCCTGCACACACTCACTCTCAATCACACACATACACTCGATCGAACACACCTGATCACACTTGATCATACACACTCACAGTCTCTCTATATCACACTCCCATTCACTCACTCTCTGTCTGTTACTCTCCCCCTCTCTCTCTCTCACACACACACACACACACACACACACAATGCACTATGTTGCTGTGTGACACCCTGAGTCCAGCCTGGAGCAGGTGAGAAGCAGGAGGCTGGGCTGACTCTCACCTTCGTACTGTCCGCAGTAAGGCAGACCTGGCCTCGTTGTGGAGAGTGATGATGATGCTGGTGGGAGGCAGGTCAGCGCTGTACTGCTGCATCGAGCATCTGTGAACACAGGGAGAATAATCATCAGGGCATTACTACACACACTGCCCAGATTCTAGAAACCTGTAACAAAACACAACATGACACAACAAGGAAGACCAGGGTCTGAGTCAGTAACTGTGGAAAGAACACGTTGGTATCAACCCATCCCGAGAACTGTGAGTTCTTAAGTGGATCAGCTGAGGAAGACAATCAGAGGAAGAGAGAGGGAGAAGCAGAGAGGAATTCAGAGTGCACAGATGGTGCTGTTCTCGTTTCCATGAGACAGAAGCATTAAGATGTGAAGGGAACACAGCGAGAGTAAAGAGGGACTATAACAGGGTCAGCAGTGACTCTTTTGGTGACACGTTTTGTCTCTGAGGCAACAGGTTCTGGGTTCAAGCCCCATTCCAGGGTTTGAGCAATAAAGATCAAGACCTTTACTCCAAATATAGTTTTGTGAGAGTGCCTCACTGTCAGAAGGGCCAACATTTAGATCAGACATATATCTGTGGCCTGTTGAAAGAAGAGCTAATGTTTATCTTTCCACTAATGTTATAATAGCATTTAACCCAGCCATTTATCATCGTGGTCTTTGTGGGAGCTTGCTGTGTACAAATTGGCTATGGCATTTCCTACATAACAACAGGAAACACATTTCGAAAACACCACTTTGACCATAAAGCTCCTTAACGTACCTGGTATGAGGCCTGAGAGACAGGAGAAATAGAAACCAGTGGGAAAGGGTTGGGTTCAGGAGGAATATTAAAACATGTTAGATAATAAGGATTTCGCTAAAGGCTGAATATGGAAAACTCTGACTGGCTGAGGGACTGGGAAAGCAGGAAAAACTATAGAGTCCTCAACCAGTGTTTCAAAGGGACTCAGACTGAAGGGTTCTTTTTCTTTCCAGAGAACGGGTCCCTTATTGGAACAATGAGTCAATTTGCCAACTATTCAGCACGTTTCACCCCACTCTCATCCAAAGGGTTGTGATGATCAGGAATTTTGGCATTCTTGCATTTGTCCTGATGCAGAACCTCAGGAAGAACACCTTATCTAAAGGGAGGGCTATTGCAGAGCCCTGAGGTCTACAGTCATGGTGTTCATTACAAGGGCAACAGGGGGGTAAAATAGGGATGTTTCGCTACAGGGTTTTAGTGAGACCAAATCAATTATGATCTACATAATTAAGACAGGATATGAGAATGGTTCTTGTGGTGCAGTGGCAGTGTCCCTACCTCTGGATCAGGAGTTCAAGTTTCACCTATTCCTGTTGTGTGTCATAGCAGCCCTGAGCTTCATTCAAAAATATTTATGATCACATGAGAAACAGTTCAAAAAGGATGACTGGAATTACTCCCACGGTTTGGATGGGGCTGGGGGGTTATCTGATGAGGAAAGGTTGGACAGGTTGAGTCTGTGTCCACTGGAGTTACAAGGTGATGGCATTGAGGCATACAGTTTCCTACAGGAATATCAGGGCTTTTTTTCCATTCATTTGTGGGATGTGGGCGTCGCTGGCTGGCCAGCATTTCTTGCCCATCCCTAGTTGCCCCTTGAGAAGGTGGTGGTGAGCTGCCTTCTTGAGCTGCTGCAGTCCTCCTGCTGTGGGTTGACCCACAATGCTATTAGGGAGGGAATTCCAGGATTTTGATCCAGCGACAGTGAAGGAATGGCAATATATTTCCAAGTCAGGATGGTGAGTGGCTTGGAGGGGAACTTGAAGGTGATGGTGTTCCCATGTATCTGCTGCCCTTGTCCGTCTAGATGGAAGTGGTTATGGGTTTGGAAGGTGCTGTCTGAGGATCTTTGGTGAATTTCTGCAGCGCATCTTGTAGATAGTACACACTGCTGCTACTGAGCATCAGTGGTGGAGGGAGTGGATGCTTGTGGATGTGGTGCCAATCAAGCGGCTGCTTTGTCCTGGATGGTGTCAAGCTTCTTGAGTGTTATTGGGGCTGCACTCATCCAGGCAAGTGGGGAGTATTCCATCTCACTCCTGACTTGTGCCTTGTAGATGGTGGACAGGCTTTGGGGAGTCAGGAGATGAGTTACTCACTGCAGTATTCCCAGCTTCTGACCTGCTCTTGTAGCTGCTGTGTTTATGTGGTGAGTCCAGTTGAGTTTCTGGTCAATGGTAACCCCCAGGATGTTGATAGTGGGGGATAAGTTGGAAACAGAGAACGTTTTCCTCATGGGACACACCAGAACTAGGGGACACGGTTTATAAACAAGGTGTTTCCCATTGAAGGTGGAGACGGGAGAACATTTTTCTTTCAAAGGGTGGTGAGTCTGTGGCGTTTTCGTACTCAGTGGCTAGGTCTTTGGATATTTTTAAAACTGATTTGGATCGATTCTTGATTGGTCAAAGGCAGACGGGAAATGAAGACCACAATCGGTTTGGCCAATCAACTTTCTCGAAGAGAGGGAAGGGCCTGAGGGGCTGAAAGGTCACCCCTTTGTTCCCAATTCAGATGTCAGTAACAAACCTCTCCTTTCAGAATTATTCACGTTCTGTACCTCCCAGCAAATGTTTACATTACATTTTCTGTTGATTCAGTCAGTTATCACATTCAGGGATTCAGCATGACCAGTTGTTTGAGGATAGTTAATATTCAACATGAATTAGCAGCGTCTTCGCACAGTTCAGTCTCTGAGGACTTTATAAATCACATTTAAACAACACATTGTCATGTACCAAGTGTTTGGTGGGAAAACAGTTCTGGTTGTTAAAACAGGTGGATAAATTGCTTAGATAGCTTGGATATTAGGGAGTCTGTCCATGTGACTAATTGGAATTATTGATTTTCTTTTTATCTCTCTCTCTGTCTTTCTCGGTATATTCAGCTGTCAGCCTCTGTGTGTAGGTTAGACTCAGGGGGCTATCTGTCCGGACAACTGAGTGTAGCCTCCTTCACACCCCAGCTGGAAGCTCTCGCGAACCACAGAATGGACCCAGCATCTTGGAGTGAGAAGATTGGCCTCTCTGCAAAGCCAACACAGCAGCAAGCGCTGTGACCTTCGACCCTGGAGGAGGGAGGTGCTAAGTGAACTCAGGGCGACTGCCGCCCACAGCACCACCGCCACAGCAACACCCCCCAGCACCCCCACCCAGTTAAACTCCAGAGGCAGCATGGTGTGGAGGGGATGGTCAATAAAAGGGCTTGCCTAGTTGGTGAAAGGAAAATAGTCAAAAACAGCCTTCCAGACCCTCAGGCCCACCACTCCCCTTCCACTCACTGCCCATGCCTCAGGCATTCCAAATCATGCAACCCCCCCCCACCCCCTCCAGCCCCATGGTCCTGCATACCCTCCAGGCCAAAATATCTCCTCTACCCACTCACCCTCGAGCCCTCTTATATCCTGTGCCAACTTATAGCCCTTGACTCACACTCATAACCTCTAACACCCCCTATGCTAACCGCTATATCCCATACTCAACCCATGTACCTGCCTTGCCAACTTAGTGCCAAATCAATTGCCCCCCACTCATCCCCTTAGGTTCAGGTTTAGTGCCTATTCATGCCAACCTGGTCCTCCCCCACCCATCGCCCTTAGCCCCTCTGTGCCAAGTCCCTCAGTTTATGCCATAGGTGGACCTCAGCAACCAGGCTGAGCTCAAATCAAATAAAGTGCAAAATATCTTCATTATTACAAAAAAGTCATTGATTAAAAACCCATATAATGCATTTAAACTTCTTCACATACTTAGTCTGCTATAAACACAAACGCTCTTCAAATATATAACCCTTTATACAAACAAGCATTTCATAGAATTTTACAGAAGGAAGCCATTTGGCCCATCGTGTCCATACTAGCTCCTGAAAAAGCTACTGAGCTAGTCCCACTCTCCAGTCCTATCTCTGTAGCCCTCCAAATTCATCACTTTCAAATATATATACAGCTCTCTTTTGAAACCTCCTATCGAATTCGCCTCCACCCCTCTCCCAGACAGTGCATTCCAAATCCTAACAATTGTCTGAATAAAGAAGTTTCTCCCCATCTCACTCCTGGCTTTCTTGCTGACAACCCTGAAAATTATGAGCCGTACTAACTGATATAATTTGTATTAACAGCCAGGTGTCAAGGTTAGCCAAACTTTCAGAAGGTGTCTAAATTGTCAGTGTAACTATGAACTTACAGCCCCATGGAACCCCTGGATAATAACAGCTCATAAAGCAGTCAAACAGTGATATTCTTCCAATATTGACTAGTCTCAGACTTATGTCAAACTACATCAATTGAAATTGCAAGCACTGACCTTCTTATTTCAAAAGCAGTCTGGATTTTTTTTCACTTTTAAGGGCAGGGTATTTAAGTGACTTGAGAACTTGAAACACTTCCAAAGAACTTGCCAACTTTTTTTAGCTACAGAGGTTGCAAGTTCAAGTCCTGTTCCTACCTAGGTTGACACTCCAATGCAGAGTGGAGAGGTGTGGCACTGTTGGAATTGGTTCCTTTTCGTCGAGATGTTAAATCACGCCCCTGTCTGCTCTCTCATAGGGTCCCTACAGTGTGGAGGCAGGCCATTCACCCCATCAGGTCCACACTTGCCCTCTGAAGGGCACTGCATCCAGACCCACCCTGCGTGACAATTCCAAGCCCTGACCACTCCCAGTGGAAAATTTGACCTCTCCAGTGAAGTCTGCTTGATGCAGCCAATCTCTCTAGTGTCCAAAAGCCTAATATATATGTTTCAGAAGCTGGGTGACAAAATTGCTTCTGTACTCTTCGGTGTGTGAAATACATCCTGCCTCTGTTCCTTTGTCACGTTCGGAGGCACAGCCTCTAGAATTTCGTTTCAGGCACGAACCCTTTGCAGCTCAACGAATATTGCGAGTTTCTGGGAAGAATGGGCCTGCATTTCTGTAGCATTTTTCATCACTTCAGAGCAAAGCCAAGATCTTTTCAGCCGACCGCACACTTTTTCAGATGTATTCCCTGTTGGACACAGGCGGGTGAGCTAATCTGACCACAGCAAATTCCCAGCAACAGCAATGTGATGAATGAGCCAGTTCGCTTATGGTGGTGTTGGGAGTTAATTATTCACCGGAAATTCTTCAAAATACTGACATGAAATCTGTTACGGTGGCCCAGTGGCCCAGTGGTTAGCACTGCTGCCTCACAGCGCCAGGGACCCGGGTTCGATTCCACCCTCGGGTGACTGTCTGCGTGGAGTTTGCACATTCACCCCATGTCTGTGTGGGTTTCCTTTGGGTGCTCCGGTTTCCTCTCACAGGATGTGTAGGTTAGGGTGAATTGGCCATGCTAAATTGCCCACAAAATCCAGGGATAGGTAGGTTAGTCACAGAAAATACAGTGGTTGGGTAGGGAGGTGGGTCTGGATGGGATACCCTTTGGACCGCTGGTGTGGACCTGATGGGCCAAATGGCCTGCCTCCACACTGTAGGGATTCTGTGAGAGGGCAGACAGGGCCTTGATTTAACATCTCAACGAAAAGGAACCAATTCCAACAGTGCAGCACCTCTCTGCTCTGTATTGGAGTGTCAACCCTGAACTGAACTTGAACTTACAAAAAAGAAAGAAGATTATGAAGCCAAGCCAATACTGGAGCAGTACCACAGAACAGAGGACATTCACTTGATGGTGTCAGGGAACATGGAGGTCTGCCCAGGAAATCCCATTGGATTCCATTACAATGGAGGAGATCGAACGGGAATGTTGTAGTCTCCGTCACTGGGTGGAAAGTTAAAGTCTCTGCCTTTACTCATTGCAAGAGGGTCATGGAGTTGTGGGGGTGGGGGAAACAGATCTGACACCCTCCAGCTTCAGGGGGCTTCAATCAAGCTGCCTGCACACCTCCCTCCATGCAACAGCCATTCTAACAGGGTCAGTGAGTGGGCTCTCTTTCACCTTTCTGACTAGCCCCAAGTGCGACATCCTCTGTCCCTTTGTTGAAGGGGAGATTATCGCCTGGTTCTTTGTCCAGGTGTCCTGAGGTGGGAGGAGGGAAGGGTTCAAATATGCATATGTGTGTGTGTGTGTGTGCGCGTGCCAGTGTCTGTATATGTCTGTCTGTGTATGTGGGGGAGGTGGGCAGTATGGGGGAGATATCGCCCCCACCGCTCCCACCTCCATCACTCCCAAAAATCCAGAGTACGGTGTAAAAAATGTTCCAACTGATGGGGAGAGCTCATTAGAGGTGTATGTGAGACAGAAGAGAAGGCAGCAGCTTCTGATACACAGTGTGGCAGCTGGTAATATCCTTTTCTGGAGGATCATTACTGAGGAGATGAGCAGCACCAATTACAGTGAAACATCCAGGAAGGAGCAGCTCTCAATTCCTCACTGTTACCTTCACTTCACTCCCCATGTTTCTGACAGTGATGTGACAGAATCTGCCAGAATAGAGATTTGAACAGTATGTTCCCACTGAATAAATCAGGGATAGATTTGGATGCTGGATCCAGCTTGACTGCCTGTTTGAGAATGTCGCTCTAGCATACAAGCCATGAGCTCCAACTCAGTTAGCAACGCACTTAGCTTTGAGTAAGAGGCTTGTGGACCCTGGAACAATCCAGAGATCCGAGTGAACACTGCACTGACAGACTGAGCTGCCCATTACTAGGATGTAAAACCAAACTCCACACCACACTGTCCTCTCGGCTGACTGTAAAGGATCCCATGGCACAGTGTCAAAGAAAAGAGGGAGAATCCTACCCGGAATCCTGACCAACAGTTAGAAGAAACCAATGCTCTGGTCATTGACATGTTACTGGGATCAGACTGTGCAATTGTGGACTTCCACGTTTTTTACAAGAGTGACGACAGTTCCTCTGTGACAAAGTGTTCTGGGATGTCCTGAGGTTGTGAAAGGTGCTACAGAAATACAGGTCACTCCATGGTATTTACCAAGCAGAGGTTGGATCATTCCTGGTGAACAAATGTGTAGGGAACAGTGACTGCAGCGATATAACCACAACACAGAGGAATGTTAGAATTAGCAGAGACTGAGAGAGACAGAGAGAGAGGGAGGGAGTGAGAGCACTGACCATAGTGCCAGAATAAATGAATAAATACATGATTACAGATCTGGTGTTGTTCAATCAGTACAACCATTGATTCTGGACTGGCTCACATTCCACCTCACCCCCTTTAGTGGCTGAGGCGTTATCTCCAGAATATTTACAACAGAGCAACATTTGGCCTATCTAATCTCTGCCAGTGTCCATGCTCCAGCCCTTCTCCATTGAACCTGATGAGCACATCCTGATTTCCAGGTTCCCTCCATGTGTTTATCCTGCAGCTCCCAGAGTAGTGCAGCCTGTCCCATGGCCAGGACAGTGGTCAAGCTGAGGAGGGATGGGGAAGATCTCTTTCTGTGGTCCACATGCCAGGGCTAAGGCTGAGAATAACTCTCTGTAGCGAAACTTTGAGGAATTAGGCTCCTTCGAAACGCAGGATGACAAAAGGAACCACCTCTGGATTGCGACCTCAGCTACATGCCATCTGGCCTAAGGTCAAGCAGATTAAAGAATTAGATACATGTTCAAAGAGTGGTGTGGGTAGAAGGGGCACTGGTGCCAGGAGGGAGCTGTTTCACTGGGTTATACATAAACTGCACTGGGAGAACCCAATGATGGCACATGGAAAGTTAACATTCAGGTACAGCAAGTAATCAGAAAAGTGAACTGCTTGCATTTCCATTCATTCACATGATGTGGGTGTTGCTGGCTGGGCAGTATTTATCGCTCGTCCCTACTTACCCCTTGAGAAGGTGGGGGTGAGCTGCCTTCTTGAACCGTTGCATTCCTCCTGCTGTGGGTTGACCTGCAATGCTATTAGGGAGGGAATTCCAGGATTTGGACCCAGTGACAGTGAAGGAACGGCGATGTCAGGATGGTGAGTGGTTTGGAGAGGAACTTGCAGGGGGTGATGTTCCCATGTATCTGCTGCCCTTGTCCTTCTAGATGGAAGTGATCGTGGGTTTGGAAGATGCTGTCTGAGGATCTTTGGTGAATTTCTGCAGTGCATTTGGATGTTTGTGGATGTGGTGCCAATCAAGCGGCTGCTTTGTCCTGGATGGTGTCAAGCTTCTTGAGTGTTGCTGGGGCTGCACTCATCCAGGGCAAGTGGGGAGTATTCCATCACACTCCTGACTTGTGCCTTGTAGATGGTGGACAGGGTTTGGGGAGTCAGGAGGTGAGTTACTTCCTGCAGGATTCCTAGCCTCTTACCTGATCTTGTTAATAATGGTAAGTCCATTTCAGTTTCTGATCATTTGGAACCCTCAGGATGTTGTTAGTGGGGGATTCAGTGATAGAAACACCATTGAATGTCAAGGGCGATAGTTAGGTTGTCTGTTGTTGGAGAAATCATTGCTTGGCATTTGAGTGGCATAAATTTTACTCGCACTTTCCAGATATTGCCGCATTTGGACATGGACTGCCTCAGTGTCTGCGGGGAGGCAGTGGCCTAATGGTATTATCACTGGACTATTAATCTAGAGACCTGGATAGCATTCTGGGGACCCGGGTTCTAACGGCAGACGGTGGAATTTGAATTCAATAAAAATCTGGAATTAAGAATCTACTGATGACCACGAATCCATTGTCGTTTGTTGGGAAAAACCCATCTGATTCACTAATGTCCTTGAGGAAAGGAAACTGCCATCCTTACCTGGTCTGGCCCACATGTGACTCCAGACCCACAGCAATGTGGTTGACTCTGAACTGCCCTCTGGGCAATTAGGGATGGGCAATAAATGCTGCCTGGTCAGGACGTCCTCATTTCGTTAATGAATAAGGGGAAAAAAAAAGGACCCAATAGGGTGGACACTGAGATTGTATTAAACTGAAAGACAAGAGCCAAAAATTTTGGACTGAAATGACAGGCAATTACTTCACTCTGCGGTGTGTTAGTCTTTAGAATTCTCTCGCCAAGATGGTTCTAGATGCCTCTGTTGCACTCGGGGCTCTGGCCTACTCAGGCCCTCTCCTTCACACTAACTGTGCTCCTAACTGTTACGGTCTTTTCAAGGGAGTGTCTGGGGAAGAGGAGATGAAGCTTAAGGTCAGCCATGATTGTATAGAATGGCGGAGCTAACCCGATGGGCCAAATGGCCTACTCCTGCTTCAATTCCTTGAATTCCCTTTCAGGGCAAATACACTCAATGATGAAGTATGGGGGCACGGAATTCCTGAGAAACCAGGATTTTGTGGCCATGGTGATGTCCCAGCTGAGGGGAGACCTCACAAAGTCCATGTGACATACCTGTAATGTCTGGTATCCCTGATCCCCCGATTGCTGGGAACTCTGCCACTCTCTCGGTGGTTGAAGGCATAGAGTTTGTAAGGGTCTTCACCAGGTCTCCAGCGTTTCGTATCGAGGTATCTCCTCTCATCGAAGGTATCAAGCAGCTCGCTGGAGTCCTCCTGCACAGCCTGAGCGAGGAAATCAGATGGCTCTGGGTTCATTATACTCCTGAACTCACTATCCGATTAGAATGTGAATGCAACGTCAGCACGGCAGCTTGGGAAAATGTAATCCATTTAATAAAAATGTTGAAAACAGTAAAAGTGACCAAGGAATTGGGAGCCTCTGCAAAACGAGCAGCACTCAGCAAAATATGCAACCTCTGGGCCAAGATGGAGAGAAGCCAAACATAAAGGATATATATAGATAAATAAAGGAATAAAGAAAAATAAAGGATAAATAAAGATAAATAAGGGAACAGAATTTCTCTTGACCCAACAACTCCATGAATTTCATGGTCAGATTATTTACACTATGATGTCAAACATGAATTTGAAGAATAATTAGCCAGTGACAATATATTAAAGGCAGTGAACTATCTAAATTGCTCCTTATCTGCCTGTCTCCAACTCTTTAAAGAAGCAACAGGAAGCAAGAGATAATGCTAATAGAATAGATGTAGTATATGTGGATTTCCAAACAGCCTTTCTTAAGTGGCTGACCACATTGTAAACTCATCATTAGGATCAGAACATGTGAAATTGGGGATAAGTAGCAGAATGGATAGTAAGCAGGTCAAAACACACAAAAAAAACAAAAGTTAAAGCAGTTACAAAAAGGAAAATTTTTTTTTACAGTGCCCTGGATAACAATTTACAGAAACAATTTACACTTCAGAGTATACTTTCAAAATTAATAGACTCACCAACCTGTCGGGTTTTGCTTATAATAGATGGGTACTCTGACAAAACAGAGGTCTTGAAAGACTTTGTTGAGGTAGACATAGAGTGGAGATTCCCACTAGAGTGACACTCACAAACTAGAAACCATTAGTATTAGTAAAGACTAATGACCCCAATATAGTAATCAGGAAGAAAACATCAGATCCACAGCAAAGTGGTTAATTCTTAACTGCCCTCTGGGCAATTAGGAATGGGCAATAAATGCTGCCTAGCCAGCGACGCCCTCATCCCGTGAACGAATAAAGGGAAAAAAAATAGATGTAGGAACATAATAGGCCATTCTGACCATCAATTCTGCTCTGCCATTCAATGAGATCATGTCTGATCTGATAATCCTCAACTTCACTTTCCTGCCTTTTCCCCACAATCCTGGTTCCATTCCTGATTAAAATTCTGTCTCAGCCTTGAATATACATAATGACAGGCCCCTGTGGTGAAGAATTCTACAGATTCACTACTCTCTGAGAGAAGAAATTCCTTCTCAACTCTCTCTTTAATGTGTGACCCTTTACTCTGAGATAATGCCCTCTAGTCCCAGACTGTCCCACAAGGGGAACAACCTTTCTGCATCTATCCTGTGAAGCCCCTAATATGTTTCAATAAGATTGCCTCTCATTCTTCTAAACTCCAATGAGTCCATCCCAAAACTACTCAACCTCTCCTTGTAAGAAAGTCCCTCCATGCCTGGGATCATCCTCATCAGCCTTCTCTGCACTGCCTCCAATACCTGTATATCTTTCCTTCAATGAGGGGGAACTGAAGTGTTCACGGTATTTCAGTTATGGCCTGGATATTTTCTCCATTCCCTTTGAAATAAAGGCCAAAATCTCAGTTGCCTTCACTATTGCTTGCTGAGTTTATATTGAGAGTAGAGTTTTAATTAATAGAGTTATAGGCTGATGGTTTGTAATTATTTATCTGTACATGTAATTAACAGTATTTATCATTAAATACAAAAACCTGGGCTGTGCTTTCTATCAACCTGGCTCTGAAAATCTGGTAAATTGGAGATTTTTGCATACTTTTTAAAAACTTTAACTTTTGTGATGACTCCAAGAATAGCAGGGACTGATTTTCAGTACGCTATCAAAATGAACAGCTACATACATTAACAAACAGGAGGCTGGAAGGTCACAGTAGGACAGGCAGCATCTGGAGGAAAGAAGCAGCCAACGTTTCGGGTATTACCCTTCTTCAGGACAGTCCTGAAGAAGGGTAGTACCTGAAACGTAGACCTCTCCTTTTCTCCAGATGCTGCCTGGCCTGCTGTGTTCTTCCAGCCTCCTGTCTGTCTACCTTGGATTCCAGCATCTGCAGTTTTTTTTGTCTCTACATACATTAACACACCGGTACCTGTTCCTAACAGGCAGAAAGAACATGTACAGTCACTGTACTTGTTGCAACTAAGCAAGAGGCAATGCCCCATTTGGTGGTTTATTTCTCAGGGCAATGCCTTGACCAATCACAGTCATCATGACCAGTTTACCATTTAAACAAAACCTGGTAGTTAACTGTCAATTATAATTAACTGGTGCATTTTCCAAACCTCTACTGTTCACTGCCCACTTGCCGACTAACTAACCCTCATCTCACAGAGACAAATGTTGTTTTCCCTTTTACTGGTATTCTTGCAAATTGTCCTGTCTGAAAGACAAAATGCTTTGACAAAATGTATTTTTTCCCTCGCACATCACTATTCACTGAGCTATGCCCATTCACCCACAGATCATCAAACCATTCCATTCACAAATCCACCCCCATTCACAAATCCATCTCCATTCACAAATCCACCACCATTCACTCAATTGATTCATTATCTAGTCAATTTCTCTTAAGGAACCTAATGATTTCTATTTGAACGAAGATCATGCTGTCACAAATTACCTTGGTTCTTCCTCCCCCTTGGCTTCTCAATAAGAGATGGTATTAGACACAATGTTTGCTGCGCAGGATATCCCACATGCTTCCCCTGTAGTTTTCCTATAACATTGTATTCTCTGAAAGATTCCAGCCATGGGGCTTTCTGTAGAATATCACACCCAGGACCAGAAAAATGTCTAAAACTGATCACAGCAGAGAGGGTAGTTCAGGTCACTCTCTGAAATCTGTACACACTCCAATATTTTCTTTGATGCCATCCTCATTTCATCGTTAACATTAAAATATTCACTTGCAGGAGATCTTTACACACAGGAATTTATTGGTCAGTGCATTGAGTATAGGAGTTGGGAGGTCATGTTGCGACTGTATAGGGCATTGGTTAGAGATAACAAGGTGTAGAGCTGGATGAGCACAGCAGGCCAAGCAGCATCAGAGGAGCAAGAAAGCTGACGTTTCGGGTCGAGACCCTTCTTCAGAAAATTTCTGAATGATTTCTGAAGAAGGGTCTCGACCCGAAACGTCAGCTTTCCTGCTCCTCTGATGCTGCTTGGCCTGCTGTGTTCATCCAGCTCTACACCTTGTTATCTCAGATTCTCCATTATCTGCAGTTCCTACTATCTCAGGGCATTGGTTAGGCCATGTTTGGAATACTGTGTTCAACTGTGGTCTCCCTACTACAGGAAGGACATTGTGAAACTTGAAAGAGTACAGATAAGATCCACGAGGATGTTTCCAGGTTTGGAGGGTTTGAGCTATAGGGAGAGGCTGAATAGGCTGGGGCTATTTTCCCCGGAGCATCAGAGACAGAGGGGTGATCTTGCAGAGATTTATAAAATTATGAGGGGCATGGAAAGAGGAAATAGCCAAGGTCTTTTTCCCAGAATAGGGGAGTCCAAAACTAGAGGGCATAGGTTTAAGGTGAGAGGGGAAAGATTTAAAAGGGATATAAGGGGCGATTTTTTCACGCAGAGGGTGGTGCGTGTATGGAACGAGCTGCCAGAGGAAGTGATAGAGCTGGGTACGATTACAACATTTAAAAGGCATCTGGATGGGTATATGAATAGGAATGGTTTAGAGGGATATGGGCCAAATGCTGGCAAATGGGACTAGATTAATTTAGGATATCTGGTAGGCGTGGACAAGTTGGACTGAAGGGTTTGTTTTCATGCTGTACACCTCTCTATGACTCTAATGGATGGGCAGAGGCACCAAAGGAAAGTCCTTGATAGGGACGCATTATCTTGGGCAATCTTTGTAAAAGCAGAGATTGCAGGAGTGAATTTATCACATAAATATTTTTGAATGCCCAAGTATCGTGCGGTGTGTGGCATAAGTATCTTTGTGAATAGCTCCCTAAGGCAGTCAGTAAAGATCAAGTTTACATTTGACAGTCAGCCACCCTCCCAGCAGAGTCTATAAAAGATGTCATTGAGTTGCAAGAGTTTGAATGGATTGACCCCAAAAGTCCAAGGAGAAGCTACAGATTGTAGGAAGGTTTCCAACTCTGACTGCTCAGTGAATATTGAACTGCTGTTCAAGGCTGGATGAAATTTTGACAGGAGCAGTCAGTGAAGAAATCTTCTGAATTTTATGGTAATCAGTTTCAGAGATGTCAGTTCTATGCTTAACCGACGTCAGTTTCAAACCTTTTGGGATGACGGTGCATGGCAAATACTGATAGAACTCTCCCAACTGTGACAGGCTGACACTTCCATTTGGTATGTTGTTCATTCTAATTCAGAGCACCGAAGGACTGTGGTCCAATTATCCAGGGCTGTATTAAGGATATTATTTTTTTCTCTCCATCCAGCCTGCTGACAAGAGAGATTTCGACTCCCAAAACACATTTCGTTCAAAATCTTGCATCTAGAGCTGCCAAGATAACACCCCCGGTTGCAGGCAGGACTTGGTAGAAATTCAAACCCAGAGTTCGAGAGTGTGGGCACGTATGTGCTGTCAAAGCATTTTAAAACTCTGCTTAAGTTTCTAAAAGTTGCTTAGGGAGTTAAACAGAACTGAGACAAATCCAGTGTGACAGTGCAGAGGTGTTGAAATCTCTACGGTATAGGGTCAAACTTTCCCTGTTTTTTTTTGAGGTTATATTCCCAATTGTTTGTTTCCATGATTGGAATATTTAGCCTTTAAGCGCACACCTACATTTACATCTGTCCTTTCCAGATCTTAGGGTAGTGCAGAAAATGTAGCAGCCAATTTGTACACAGTAAGCTCCCATAAGGAGCAATGCAGTAATGATCAAATACTCTGCTTACTGATATTAGCTGAGGGTGAAATATTCTTCAAGACATTGGGGAGAACTCCCCCAGGTCTTCTTGCAGTCAGCTCCC